GGTGGGCGGGCAGCGCGGGACGGGTCCGGGTGCTCTGGCAGCCCCAACTCTCCCTGCTGGCAGGGTGGAATCGCGGATCCCTGCAGCTCAGCGCCCGCGCCTTCACGCTGCACAGCACTCGGCTGGGCAGCTCCCTGTACTCCACCCCTGCCCAGGATTCTCACTTCCAGCTGGGGTTGTAAACTGGGAGGGGACCCCGCGGCTGGCTCTGGTCAGAAGCACCGCTCGAGGGAGGACGGACAGGCCTCCGCTGGGGGGAGAGGGGGGTCCTAGGGCCGTGCCTGTGGGCCGCTGGTAGCGAAGGCAGGCTTCGGGAGTGCAAAGCCCTACGGAAAGGAGCAGGGAGGCACAGGGAAGGGCTCAGTGGAGATGGGGTGTCTGCAGAATTGGGGGAGCTGACTCCCGCCCTAGAGCCTCCATCTCAGATCTTGCTTCTTCCCAAGTGATTCCAAACAGCCGACTCGGTCTTTCCTTAGGTGGAGAAAATCTGAAGCTGTTTCTGACGCTTTAGTCCGAGCCAGAGAGAATCCCGTATCGGCCGGAGCGCCCGGGGTTGCCCTGGGGAATCGGCAGGTCCTGGATCGCACCGGCTCCCGTCAGGCGCAGCAAGATGCCACTCGCCGCCTATGGGCAGTACCCGACTTCGGGCCTAGGCCCTGTTTCTACCATTCAGTCTGCCACGTTTTCATCAGGGGAAGCGGGAGGCGCAGGAGCCACGATTGTGCTTGAAAGAGACCTGGGGCGTCTGAGCGCGTGTGCGAAGGAGCCGGGACGCCGCCGACTCAGCTGGGGGAATGAGGAACCGGGGAGCCGGGACAGAGGGCAAGGAACAGGACCTATGGGTTGATCCAAAGTCGGGGTGGGTGGGGGGATTAATGCACAGTGAGCGGGGAGGACGAGGAGACGGGACCCCAGGTTCGTGGCCTGAGCAGCCCCACTTCCAGACCAAAGAGAGCAGCCAGCTGCCTGGGTCCAGACCCGCACCTCGGCAGCTGCGGGCAGCTCTGAGCACCTGCCTTGGCCCTCCTGATGTAGGCCCTGGTGGTGTGGGCTGTGACGCCGGCAGGGGCACGGGGTGACATGCCAAGATTCTGTGCGCCCCAGGTCAGATGAGCCGTGGCATCCGAGGGGGCCGCCTGCACGTCCTTCTGCCTGGAGACCCGGCCTTTGGGCGGCCTGGGAATGCGACCCTGGGCAGTCTCGACGACTCTGAACGCCAGCCAGGGAGTCAAGAGAAGCCTCAGAGGCCGGGCCACAGAGGCCCCCATTCCGCCAAAGGGGAGAAGAGAAGTGTGGAGAAGAGGCCCGGCACACGGAAGGTGGGGATTGGAAAACAGGGGCAGGGGGATGCAACGCTGTACCGGGAATTTGGAGTCTGGGGTGGGTCTGCAGGGCCTGTGATGGAATAGGATTCCTAATCGATGGAAGAGGATTCCTAAGTGCGCTCTGAAGGAGAAGAGAGGATCGATCTGGGCCTGGAACATGGACCCTCTCGCCTGCAGGCAGTCGCCCGACAGCGGGTGCAAGAACGTAGCGCTGCCAGCAGAGGGCAGAATGCCCCCGATCGGTCCGCCAGCTCTGCGCCGGGCTCTGCGCCGCCCGACTCTGCGCGCCCGAGCCTCGTCCGCCTGGCTTCTCCCGGCAGCTGTCGCGCCCCCGTCCCAGATGCCCGGAGCGGGCGGCCCAGGCCCAGCCTCGGGAGCTCAAGGCCTGGGGTTTCCAGGCTGCGCAAGGACCGGGGACCAAGGGCGTGTGAGAGAAACTCCACATCTACTTACCACCGTCCTGGATACAAAAACGCCAAGAAATCAAGAAATACACGGAGACACAAAGACACACACACGAAAAAAACTGTGGGACACACGAGCACACAGAATCATTCGGAAACTCGGAGGTACACAAAGACACACAAAGGTGACACGCAGACACATAAACAGAAAAGGATCCCAGACACAATACGGAGGATGAAAGACATACAAAGACCGTGGCACCCGCATAGAGTGACAGACACAGGGACACACACAAAGACCTACAAAAACACGGAAGAGATGGAGGTATGTAAGGCCCAGCAGATTCACATCCAAACACACACACGGATGCAGGGGACACAGATTCACACACTCGGAGCCACTCGGAGCCCAGACTGTCGCAGGGACGCGGAAAAATTGTGTGTGTGCACAGAGACACGGGTGCATAGACATGTAAGAGCCTCAGAGGCGGGAGCATCCATGTGCACAGACACACACAGACACCCACCGACACACACGCAGGTACTGGGCTGGGGCGGGAGCTTCTAATCCTCCACAAAGCCGGGCCCCTCCGCGGGGCCCCGCGGCACAGGGGGCCACTTCTGACCAAGCCTCCCGCAGGCTCCAAATCCGATCTGCCCTCTCGCCTCCAGCGGGGTCAGGGGACCCGCCTCCCTTGCCCTCCGCCCCCGCCCCGCTCCGCGCCAATGCTCCGCTCCGGGAGGGGCTCGGGCTGCCCCGCAGCGGCTCGCAGGGTCAATCTGCTCCTGCCTCGGGGCTGCATCGGCCGCCCTGCTCCCGGGCGAGCCGCGACTCCATGCGGACCCCGGAGGCCGAAGACACAGCCGGCCCGGGCGCGGTGCACTGCAGCCGACGCAGCGGCCTGCGCACCCAGCGCTGGACTCGGCCGCTCGGTCTCTCCGGCCTTTCGTTCCCCAGTGCCGAGGCCCACGCTGCCCAGGCTGGCCAGGGCCCTGTCCCTGCCGGGCACGGCCTACCGACCCCGGCAGGGTCCCTCCGCCACCAAAGGTCGCCTATCCCAGCGATCAATCCGGTTTCCTTCGAGCAGCCCAACGCACATCTTCCAGGGTCTTCAGTCCGCGACCCTCGAGCCACCACTCTCTACCCATGGCCCTCACTCCCAATCCTGTGAGGCCAGGTTCTCGTCCATTGCCCCACCCGTACCCGCGATCCCTTTCTCACACCTAATCATTCTCTAAACTCTAGGTCGCCTGAAACCGGGCCTCACCTTTCTTGCCTTCCCAGTGTTCCCATCCTTGATCCCGGGGCTCTTCCGGGATCTTCGCTCACCTCTCCACCCAATCTCTGCCACGCCTGACGCTTTCCCGGACCCACACCCCAAATCTGGAGCCAAATCCCCCTCTCCCCGAGCCAGGACTTTGGCAAATCCTGAGCCAGCAGCCCTCCCCTCCTGCCAGTCCCCGTCCCTCAGTCCAGGCAGCCAGCCCTCTCCACGGACGAAACCGGCTCCGGGAAGGCGCCGCCACCCGGGGGACGCCAACTCAGCCTGGTGCGACCTACCTCGGCCAACAGTCGGGGTCCCCGGGCGGCCACTCCCGGCCGGCGCCGTCCCCTGGTGGAGCCGCTGCGCTCCCCGCCGTCCGTGCAGTCTGGCCTCGCTCAGGGCCACTCCTCTTAGCGCTGAAGCTTTACAAAATATTAATAATAAAGAAGGCGAGAAAGAAAAAAAGAAAGCCTTCATTCCCCAACTCCCAAATCAGTTTTTCAAGGGGGTGGGGCAGAAGGATTTGTTTCGAAGGCGACCCAAACTTCTGCGAGGGGCCAACGGGGCGCTCGGCCTGGCCGGGGCACCCAGGTCCGCACTCGGGGCCGGGCACGGCGCGGGGCGCAAGCCGGGGGCGCGGGGAGCCCTCCCGCGGGGAACGGGGGGGCAGCGACGGCACTATTTGACGTGGAGCCTCCGGCTCATCCCGGCGCAGGGATACGAGGCGCACCAATGAGTTCAAATGTCAGGAAGTTTGAGGAGGGGTGAGGCGGCTCCCGGCTGGAGTATCCCTCCGCCGCCAGCTCCAGCTCTAAACCGAGCGGCTCCTCGAGCGCACTATGGCACTAGAGTAGTTCGGGGAACGCGCCTGGAATTCCGCGGCCCGCTGCGCCCCGCCCGGGACCCCGCAGCGCCGCCCGCGCCCCCCCGCAGCCCGCGGAGCCGCCCCTGCACCCCCCCACCCCCTCCCCCGCCCGCCGCCGCCGCCGCCGCCGCCGCCGCCGCCGTCGTCTCCTCCCCGCGGCTCCGTCTGCTGCCGCCGCCGCTGCAGCCCGGCTCCGGGGCTGACAAGCAGGTGACAGAGGAGCCGGCGCGCGTGGCTACGAGTGCTCGGGAGAGCGCGGCGCGGACTGCAGCCGCCCCGGCCCTCCCGCACGACGCCGGGGCCCGGGGCCAGCGCGTCGCCGCTCCGCGCTCGCCGGGGCAGCCGGCGGCCCCAGCCGCAGCCCCCAACCCGCGGGGGCCGCGCCTCCCCGGCTCCCGGGCCGCGGCGGCGGCGGCGAGCCGGCAGGCGGGCGGGCGGGTGAGCACCCTGGCCGGCGGGGCTCGCAGCGCGCCCCGCGTCCCATGGATATAGCAACAGGTCCCGAATCGCTGGAGAGGTGCTTCCCCCGCGGGCAGACGGACTGCGCTAAGATGTTGGACGGCATCAAGATGGAGGAGCACGCCCTGCGCCCCGGGCCCGCCACTCTAGGGGTGCTGCTGGGTGAGTGCGGGGTCGGAACGCCCGAGTGGTCACGGGCAGGGGACAGGGGTCTCGTTCCGAGGTGGACACAGGGTTCCAGGCCAACGGATAAAGACAGTGGTTTGCAGAACATGGGGGCGTGGGGGACACAGAGAGAAAACTCCTGGAGTGATCACCAGAGGGGCAACAGGCAGGCACGCCTAGACAGGCATCCTGAGGGGACAGAGGTATGCAGGGACACCACCTAGGAGGAGCGAGGACAGGACAGCTCCAGCCGCCACCCCCCATCCTCACCGGGCCTCAGTTCCAGAGCTGCCACTCCGGGCGAGAGGTAGGAGGCGGGTGGCAGGGGTGATGGAGGACTCAAGTAGTCAGTCACCTTGGCAAGCTTGAGAGTGGTGCCAGGTCACCTGGGAAGAGGGAGTCTCTAAGAGGGAAATGTTCCCTGGGTCAGCTAAACCACAGATTTTGGGGAGATGAGAGAGAGAAGACAACGAACGCCACCGCGGGGCGTGTCAGCCGGCGGGCGCCTAAGCCTCACCTCTCCTGTCTCGGTCCCAGCCGGCTGCCCCGCGCCGTGCTCGTTCTCATATATATTATCACCAAGCGCTCGATCTCCGGAGAAGGGGAGCGCGCAGCGCCGAGCCGAGGCTCCAGGCCCGCGGCCTCTCCGCGGCGGAGTCCGCTGACTGGGACGAACTAGCTGAGGCTGCCCGGCCCCTGGCGCGGCGGCCGGGGAAGCGCAGGCGGCGGACGGCGGTACCGGGCTGCCCTCGCCTTTGGGGCCGGAGCTGCGGGCACCGCGCGATCGGGACGCTGGGCCGGGCTGGTCGGCGCTGACGGCCCGTCTCTCGCCCTGTGCGCTGCAGGCTCCGACTGCCCGCATCCCGCCGTCTGCGAGGGCTGCCAGCGGCCCATCTCCGACCGCTTCCTGATGCGAGTCAACGAGTCGTCCTGGCACGAGGAGTGTTTGCAGTGCGCGGCGTGTCAGCAAGCCCTCACCACCAGCTGCTACTTCCGGGATCGGAAACTGTACTGCAAACAAGACTACCAACAGTAAGCGCCTCTCGTCCTTCTCCTTTCCCGCAGCCGCACGGCACTCCAGCCCGGCCGCCCCCCTGCCATGTCGGGCCCGCGTCCGCCCTGCCGCCGGCCCTGCGCGCCGCTGGGCCCGTCAGCTCCGAGAACTCCGCGGGTTGCGCGTCTCCCGGCAGGGCAGAGCCGTCCCAGCGCGTCCAGCACTGGTGGGGTAGCCAGGACCCTCCGGCAGCCCCCGTTGCCATCCTTTGTCCGGGAAACCTGCGCTGGGCCGCTCAGTCGGGGTGCGGGACAAGGCCCTGGGCCGACGAGGGGGTACGATGCTGCAGTCGTGGGACAGGGGCTGGCTTCACTGAGGCCTGCATTGGGGACCGAGAATTGATTTTTCAAACGAAAGCAGTGCTTTAGGGAGCCGGGCACTGGCGGTGTGCTTCCCCAGCCCAAAGGCAGGGTTTGTGTTGGTTTGGGATTCTTGAAGCAAGGAGGTGGAATGGCAGGGTGCTGAAGTGCCCAAGCAGCCAGGGATGCCCCCTTCCTGCCAGGCTTCCTGCTGCACTTTCAGTCCCTGATGGAGAGAAAAGGGTGTGCATTCTCCCCAAACCGTTCCATGCGGGAATTTTGCTCGTATAATTGTTGGCTGGAGAAGCTGTCTAGGAAGAGGACCTTAAGAGGTGGGAAACCACAACCTGGGTTCCCCATGGGGTGAGGAACTGGCCAAGTCAACCTTCCCCAGCAGCCCTTCTTTCTCGCCATGTGTATGTGTTGGGGCAGGATGGCTTGCTCCGCCCTGGCGGAGCCCAAGCCTCAGCGTTGAGGCCAGAAACTGGGCTGAGCCCTACCTACTGACTTTTGCGTTTAGCTGAGACTGTGGGTTTGTCTGGCAGGGGGCTCCTGGCAGATAAGAGTAGATCCAGGTTTTGGTTTTTTCCTTTTTCTTTTGACCCTCTGAGTTTTGTGCCTGACAGTGTGATTAAGAGGGAGGCAGAGAGGAGCAACACGAGGAAGAGGGGTGTGGGGATGCCCAGGGCAGCAATTTGGAGACAAGCGGATGCCTGTGAGAACTTTCTAGCGAAGCCCAGAAAACCGTTTCTGATGGGGCTGTAGGGTGGGTAGGCTGCTCGAGTGGTTTGGGCCTCAGAGGGGGGCTGTGTGTGCCCAAGCCTCTGGGAAAAGGCTGGGCTGCCAGTGCTTGGTAGTTAAGTGCAGCCTACCTGCTCTGCCCAGGGACTGTCCCTAAATCCAGGCCCTGATGGGAAGTGGAGCAGCTTGGCCGAGACCTGGAAATAGGTGGGACTGCAGGCCAGAGCCCTTGAGAGGGCGTCGGGTTCTACTTCAGAAGTCTCCGTGTGCGCCCTACGCTAGCACCTATTCTGACGGTGCTCCCCTGCTCTGGGGGCTCAGCAGGAGCTGCTTTTTCTGCCTTGTACTTCCTGCCAGCTGGGGGGCAGTGAGAGCAGGAACTGGGACCCTGTTCAGAGTCAGCTCTTCTGTGGTCCCAGAGACCTCCCCTTCTGGACCACCCCAGGTTAGGCACACTGCCACTGATCGTGTTTGTGCTGTGCCCCTGACTGATACGATTCTACTTCCAGGAGAAAGTGAGGCCACCGGTCAGCTCTGCCACAGGCAGGCGTACAGCAGCGTAAAGTGATGAAAGTAGTTTGGGGTAGATGTGATTGGAGGCTTGGGGCTGGCCCCTCAGCAGGGCTCACCGGCCTAAAGTCCACACACATCCTGCTGTCCTGCACCCCTCGCCTTGCTCTGTTTGCCTGACCCCGAGCGCGGTTGTGGCAGTGCCACTCCCCGCACAGCTCAGCCTGGATCACTTAACACGTGCGGGCTGGAGGCCCAGAAAACTGGAAATGGGCCTCCGAGTCATTTGTGCAAATTTTTGAAAAAAATTTTTTTTTACATTTTGTAAAGACTCTTTCCAGCCTCTTGTACATATCTGCTCACTCTCTCCTCCCCACCCCTCAGTCATTTACAGAGGTTTTCCTTAAAACAAGGAGAGGATGCCCCCTGGTTCTTCAGAGCACAGAATTGTAAAGTCACAAATGTTGAGCTAGATGATCCCTTAAAGCTGAATGGCCAACTCCCTCATTTTACAAAACAATTAAACATTAAACAGCGATTGCTTTGCCGAAAATATGTTTGTTTAAAAAAGAAAAAAGGGCGCCTAAGAGCTTTCTCCCTCAGTGCAGTTAGGGGTGTGCTGGCGGGTGAATTTTGGTTCAGGGCGAATCTCCAGCTCGAGTCTAGGTCCCGAGGGCAGCAGGCGGGCATTATTCATGCCTCTCACGGTGCCTTCCTCTTTCGCGCCCCCCCCCTTTCTTCCAATAATGCCAATTAGGTATCTGCACTAGGCTGGCCAGTTGGGGGCTGAAGGGGGATTGTTGTTATCAAGACAATTCTGGGGACAAATACCCAGTCGGATCTCGCATCAGCTTTTCTCTGGGAGAACCAGCGCAGAGACGCAGGCGGGGGCTCGCTGGGAAGCGATGTTCTTTGCACAGTAAAAATGTATTTCACGATTTATTTTTTTCTTTGAGGATCGCAGATGCATATTTATTGCATCTGTGCGTAAATGCTTTTCAGACGAGAATCCAGGCAAGTGGGCGCAGGAACGTGCCTTCTCAATTTTGTGGAGTCTGTGCGTCAGCGGTATTGGGAAATTAACACACACCCCCGCCATAACTTTTGAAAAATGTTTCTTCGTCTCGATAGGAGTTGCCGGGCTCGGTCCTTGGAAGGAGATTGCTATTTTTATTAAGCGCCTCTTCCTCCTTTCGATTTGTTTTAGAGATCCGGGACACAGACCCAGAGGCACAGCGTTATTTTATGCACCACGGGGTGATTAATTGACGTTTGGGTGCATTTAATAGCGTTTGATAAAATCCACCCGCACGTCCTGGACCTGCAAAGCGGAGCGCAGGCCACCACGGCATTTGTGCATTTTCACGCATAACTCGAAGTCTCCTTTTTCTCAGTACGTGTTTTTCGGGGGCTCCTTCAGGGGGAAAAAAAAAAATCATCGGATAGTTCTATGCCCGAGCCTCTGGCCCCTCGGCAGCCCGAGCTCCTTCTCGGACAGAAAACCCGGTTAGAAACCGGGAGGAAACGCGGCCTCCAAACGCAAAATCACGAACACCTCTCTCCTTCCTTCACCAGAGAACGCATTTTTAAAAAATGACAACATAAATCCCTCTCCTCAATTTTTTTTCTTTGCCGCTTGGCCAAATAGAATTATGTAACTCTCTTTTCCTGCCGTCTGTCGCTTGTCTGGAAAGGGTTTCTATCTTTTTATCCCGAGGAGGTGGCGAATTCCGGGAGGAGGCTCCGGAAGGGGGGAGGGTCGGTGGAGAGTCCAAAAATCTGTCACAAAATGGAGCCTAATCGCTTGTAAGACAGCTCCCAGGTCTGACGACCCGAGCCTCGTCGGTGTGCGAGCCGGAGCCTGCGTGCGCCCTGCGCCTACCTCGGCGTCCCGGGCTGGCGGTGCGCTTCTGCCACCGGGCCTTCCCGGGCGGCCTCGCCTCTCTGCCGCCGAGCCCGCGCCGGTCCCCTGGGCCTCGCCTGCCCAGGTAGGATGCGCCCACTGCAGCAGGAGTGGGGCAGCGAAGCTTTGATTGAGTTTCACAAAAAGCCGTCTGAGTCCTGGGGTGATTTTTTTTTTTCTTCTTTTAAATTTACCCCAGCTGGCTGCGGCTCCAGTGGCCCAACCAGCTCTTCCCAGCACATTCCTTTCCTGGGAAGTGTTTACACCGGGAAAGGCCTTCCTGGGAGGCTCACCTCTCCTCAGAGCGGCGGGTGTGGCGCATGGGTAGAGCAAAGTCAGGCCCCAGCCTTTTCTGCCTGCTGCTTCTTCCAGTTTGGGAGACCTCCCTTAGGCCCTGCTGTAGGGTGCCAGTTACCAGCAGCATCCCCTCCACCAGTGGGTACCCCAGCTGGCATGGCCCCCATCAGACCAATTCGGAGCTGCAGACACCCCTGCCCACAGTCTGGGCCAGAGGGCCTGTCCTGGAAGTGGATGTTCTTGGAAGGAAGAGCCAGCGCTTTCCCTTATTAAAAGGCCTCCATAGTGCTCTTCCTGGAGATCTAAGGGCTGAAAGGCTCCCTCTGCCAGCCCAAGTCTGGGGACCCTCTGGCTCCTGGGAGGGCACTTCTGCATTTAACCCTAGCACCTTGGCTGTAGGCGGAAAGGTAACCAAAGGCCTTCCTGAGGTTGCAGTTCTCCGCTGCTGAACAGAGACATTATTCACAGCTGACTCCCGGCTCACCCTGTATTCCCTAGGCTCTGGGCTGGTATAGCCTAATTTGTTTGCTGGGTTTTTCTCGAGTGGGGGAAGCAGGCTGTGAGGATCTCCTCTGGGGTATGTGATTGGTGACCCTCAGCTCCCTCCTGTCTGCCCATTGGAGCCAGGCTTAGGACCACAGAGCCTTGACACCTACCTGAGCCTCTTCTGTAAAATGGGGGACATAGCCACCCGGGGGAAAGTATTCTTATAAGGATTGGAGATAACATGCCCCAAAGGACCTGGCATCTTGCCTGGCATGTTGTTAATACTCTGGAAATTATTGTTGTTACTTTATCACCATCAGCGTGGCAAGGAATGCCTTGTCTCCAAGGCCACACACCAAACTGCCCATGGGTTCCCTGCCAAAGAGAGGGGCAGCTGGCATGCTAGGCTTGTCATAAGCCTCTGTGCAGGGAAGATGAGGGATACCCTGGGAAAACCATTCCCTTTTCCTGAGTGGGACAGTGTGAGACAGACCTGGGTTCACAGCCCAGCACTCAGTAGCTGTGTGATCTTAGTCAAGTGGCTGCCCATCTCTGAGCCCCATGTTCTCCATCAGCAAAGTGGGGGTGATGATATTTCTCAGGGT